TAGAGCAAGCGGTGTTTCAGAAGACAGAGATACCGAAGGCAATCCTTCTGTGAGCGGAGGATAATTTGAATAACTGGTATAAGTCTGGGAGATTAAGGATGGCCTCGTCGACCAATATGAATATGGTGCATATGGAGAGTTGGCCACCGGCAAGTTGTGTTGTTGATAGCCTAGACTCTGGGCAGGCTGGCTGCTGCCCATTCGGTGGGGCAGATCCTGAGGAGACGGAGAATACATAATATTCGGTTGTGATGGACCGGAACTGGCGGGAAAAAGGTGACCAAGTTCCTCAGTGTGTACTAGGTACGCCATATCTGCATCCGAGGAGAAGAAATTTGACATCGTTGAAACGGAATTTGCGGAGCTAAGATATATAAAGGGCTTCTTGCCAACCGGAATCGTAAGATGATAATCGAGGAGGCTTAACCAAAATGGTACAGTGTGGTATGTTGAAGATAGGCCAATGCGTCCGTAAATGCTTGGAAATTGAAGAACGGGACCGGTAGTTCTTAAAAGATCGCTCAGGCCGTTGAACCTCTATGGTCAAATATAGAATCGTGGATTTTTTAGTTCAAGGGTGAGCTTTAGGGCCCTTTTCCGCAGCTGTAATGCTAAATGAGTTTGTACAGTGGCGGAGTAGGGAGTGTCACGGTGCCTGATGATTGGTCCGTGAACTGGGCCTGAATGTTGAAACTGAGATATGTAATGATCCAAAACAAGTTCAAAAAATCACGGAAGAGTTCAGGAAGTATATCCGAAGCTCGCGGGTCGATTCGCTGCTTATGATATTCTTACCAGAAGCATGCTCCATCTCACCCGAGCAAAGCCAAGACGATGAATTTGACTGAACATCAGATGAGGACATTGCTGGTTAGTCCCAAGTTGGTATGGCATCCACTCCATACAACACACTCCAGTCCCGGACCTGTTGTATGTGCACCATTCTACGCGATGGAATAAGGCTCCGGTATACAATGAGCATTGACGTGATGATCATCATAGGGTGAACGTTGCGCCATGTGGAACTAGGATACCGACAAGATAGTAAGTCGCAAGCTGTACCTAAAATGTCCTCCACTGCGGCCATACACAAGCATGATGATATCGGCCCCATAGGCGTCGTCGACTGTTGCTCCCGTCATCGAGCGGACGAGAGAATGTGAAGAAACCCTATCGCATATTTTTGTGCGACTCTAAACTGCTCGTGGAAGGCTTCTAGAAAGTTACACTGATGATGATTATTTCTCCGAGGTGGACGATTGTTTAGGAAAAAGGCGCCATTCTCGAGACCGCTTTTACCGAGAGACTGTAGACTGTAAGACGGATATGGGAAACAGCGCGGGTATCCACATTCCCCAGACCGCCAGGTCGCAGATAGGTGTAAGATGAGGGACTAGAAAATCATAGGACGGTAGGGTACAGTCGATGTGCGATTGGCTTACGATGGTGAACCAACACCGGTTACATGTTAGGATCCAACACGTTCGGCAAACTGTAACCGTCTCGAGCGATAGATGGGGCTGAAAGTTTCAGGGAGAAAGCTTGAAGAACTGTCGGGTGTAAAATTAGTAATAAAAGGTCCGAGTTCTAAGGGGCGTTGCACGAAGCCTTGCATTGAATAGTTGAAATCTGACCCCATCTCGTGGGGTAGTCTGTCGTTCCGAGATCGTGCAGATGCTCGTTGTCGCTTTGCTGAAGCTTCGTATAGACCCACTTCGCTCGTCAGGTCTCTCTGGACCACGACCTCAGGGCACAACGAATCTCAGTCTCGTCATACCTGTCAGCTACAGTCTTCGAAGATATGGTCCGTGATAGATGCAGCTGACGTCTCAAGTTACCTGTTGGGGTGTAGCGAAACTCGTCGACAACAGAAATCCCTTTCACGGCTTTGTTGTTCGGATGAGCGCGCTCTTTCAGATGGCCGTGCTCGCCAAAACGTTTTCCCGCACAAAGGTATCATGAGCAATCCTTGCAAGTATCAGCTGGTTTTCCATTAAACCATAACTCATCGGATGTCAAGGCTTGCAGTATCGCTTTGATTGTGTTGCTGTCCAACCTGAATGACAGGCAGTTGAATTCCCTGGATCCTGTTTTTATTAGCCTATTTCATCGTGTCTTTCCCTAGTAATTAATCGTGTGACACCCGTTACTCTGGTCGTGTGCACGGGTTGTTATGATAGCTTTAACATGCCACAGGGAGCCATTCCTGTGCGCGCAATTTAGTACGATAGAGCGTTGGTAGTTGGACACTGCCACCTCCTGATTTTCAGAGCGGCGCCTATTCCAGAGACAAGTCAGAGAGAGTTGTTAGCACCGCAGATGATGTTGATAGGGCTTGGATGATGAATGACTGAAGATCTGTGGAATGTGTGGTATTGAAGAGAAGAGGAATGGAGTCCTGGGAGAGTGGGTGCAGTCGATGCCCTATTCGGAAGTCACGGAGACGACACTCACCGAGAGGATAATCCGGCCGACAATCTCATACCTGCTGAATTATACCTGCTGAATTATACCTGCTGAATTCCACCTCTATACCAGAAAGATTGAACAACCCTATTTGACCGAGCTCCTCTCTAATTCCACGCATCAAGAATTTACAGCAACCAATAGTAAAACGTACACGAATGCCCAAGCCATCGTATCTTTATTCGAGGTACGTGGGACGGTTATGAAGCCAACCACCGGTGGATTAGGTATTCTCAGATACGCTGGATTATTACTCATTCTCTTGTCAGCTATGGACGCATGGCCGATCAGGTTGATGGATTGGGGCTGCCAAATGAATGTAGCGAGTGTTAACTGTCATCACCCACTTGTACTATATCGTTCCTCGTGCCGTTAGATATTCCACAGATCTCTTACTTGGATCTAATTTTATCCATGATACCTGAATATATCCATTCTTTTGCTGGGTCGTACCCAAGAGCGTGGAAATATTCCAAGTGGTTGACTGTAGGGTCCTCCTGCACCTGCGGAGAAACAATTTTGAAACCGTGATTGCGGTGTATTCGAGAGTTTCAAATATTGAGTTCCGTCGCGATGCAACAGCGTCAAAGTACCAGTTTTGGAACCATATTCAGCGCATGTGTGAACACTGTACTATGCGTGAGCGGAAACATGTCTGTATTAACCATGCAGCTAGATAATGTATACGAAACACGACCCCACGAACTTTGCCAATGTGAAACGCAGGACATCGTGCATATGCTACTATTATACTTGGAGTCCAATTGGCTGGACTATTAACTACGGGTGATTTCACCACTCTCGTGCGGACGGTAAACACCAGGCTAAGAATCAGCCTTGCACCGATATCCACCCCTGTATGCATATAGAACAAGTCCGAGGAAACGGTCTCAAACGACTGGATTCTTATCGTAACTTCACTATGTAGGCGTCTCTGGCCAATCACTTTTCCATGTATTACCGCGTATATGGGTCTCTCTCCAACTCTCTATCAACCTCCTGTTTATATGACGTCCAACTAACACCATTTTGGCCCGACCCCACAGGCGCATAACTGCGAGTATACAACAAAGTCCGTGCTGAAAATTAGACCAATCGCATCATAGGCCTCATAAGCATTGCCGCCTAAAATTTACTCTGAGGAACAATATGAACCATGCTGGCAGTAGCTCAAAATAGCGTTTGAATGACGAGATCGATCTCAGATTCCCTAGCTATAAGTCTTCGCACCATGCTCCCAACTCACAATTACCTTACCTATACGGTACCAACACTTTCAAGCCTCTCATTCTACCCAACCTTCAATCCAAATTGAAACCCGTTCCGTGGAAATCTTGGGACAACCAACATAATGAACTTTATAAGATACAGCACCTCTTTTGGACTCGCACTAGATCAGCTTCTCTACACCTTCAATAGAAAGCATGCTCTCTGGGAGACCTTTTACGAACAAATCTCATCAAATACCAAATCCACTTCCCTTCAACAGACCCTGAACTAGGAGAAAATAATTCACGGATACAGACAGCCATCTCATTGCACTTTGAAAGATACAAAACCTTCAGATGATCACTGCCCACATACAGATATCTTATTTTCTCATTAGAACATTATTTTGTTTAGCCCTTCAACTATTGGCTCCTCACTCCCTCTACTGTCAGCGGTAGCCCTTGTTGGAATGGCAATCTCGCTATGCTAGGATCTTCTAGCAGGTCGGCCAAACTATGTGACAACAACATTACATATATTACTGTATGTTTCCGCTCCTTCCTTGAGTCCTGTTATCACATGATCTCATGTATATATATATGTCACTCCTTTGGCTGCAGACATAACAATCAATTCATTTCATTTCCAAAAGACAATTTCCATGAACACTTCCGTTCTGCCAAACACACTTCCATCAGCCCTCGGGCTCTACTCAGGTGAAGTAGGGTAAAAAGATCTTAGCATTCGCATACTGCATTCACGGACGCTTGGCATGTCTTGGCGCATTTACTCAGCATGTAGTTCGTCTTTAGGCTACACCCAACTCACAATGAATAACATCAGACTTGCATGTGCACTGTTTGATATCTATCAATAAAGGCTAGTTCACTGGCCCAATGCAAATACAGAACAGGCTTCTGACTGTCGGACTTACAGTACACTAGATACACATTAGACAGTATAAATAAACCACAGTGTGAACGACATGAGACTGAGTATTGTTTTGTGCTTAGGGATGTTTGAGTTCGTTGAATTTCCTATTTTTTATTCACCGCTTTGAAAGGAGTATTTATACAATAATAACTTTCTTCCGGTGCATGAAGACGTAGTCATCTACATTGGCGTTCCACCTCTTTTATCTCAATTACTTTCGAAAGATATCTACCACCATTTATAATATACCAAATCACAGCACCACAACATCGACGCTCTCAAATCTATCCATCACCCAAAACCTAAATTTCTATTGAATATTATCAAGCAAATAGAATAAAAAAATAAACCAAAGATCATAAAAGAAAACAAAAAGAAAACAAAAAGATAATTGACACGAGTGAGGTTCGAACTCACGCGGGTTTCCCCAGTAGAGATTTGAGATTTCCGAATGGAGCACTTAAATCTACCGCCTTAGACCACTCGGCCATCGTGTCGTAGTTATTTGAATGAAAATGTAATAAGTTTTATAGTATATAAACAACATTAAAGCGAGCAGTTTGGCGAGTTACTAGCGGAGAAATTTGCAAAAGCGGGCATGGACTAATTGCTAGTTGGGATGCGGGGCCGTGGCGGGCGTTAGCTTGGTTGAAGTTGGAGACGTATGGTGGGGTTTTGGACTTCACGAAGCTGGACGAACATCATACTCAGCAAGTAAGCTACAAAACAGAGAAATAGAATAGGCTTGTTAGTATTCTCAATATTAAAATAGAGCCAAGATATTGCAGGCAGGAAAAAGATGTTGCTCTTTGTGGCTTTACGGGCCCGTTTAGAGAGCGTTCGGACTTCGGCTAACCATAATACAATTGAGGAAATGAATATTTCTACTCAATCATCCGTAGGCGCTCAACACCTTCAAATGTCCTCATTCAATAATATGGGAACCTGCCTATCAGTTCCTGTTAAAGTCCTATCAATCTCTCAAGTGGTATAATCGCCGTATGATGTTTGACCAGAAATTCCAAGCCAATACCTTAACCTTAGTATGCTTCTCATACCACCCCTAACGCCAATTCCGTTTGAGTAGCCTTCATGAATGTGATAAACTCATGCACCAATATACCAGAGTTCGACGCCCAGGACTTCGAACTTAGTGCCCTCGTCGCTGAGCGGCTCATTACCGAAAGTAGGACAGGTACTGGAGACGCCGTTTTCTAGATTGTCGTCGAGCCAAAGACCGTAGTGACCATCGCTGCAATTAATAAATCAGCACAGAATCCGTATTTAGATCCGTTAGTAGAACTTACCCTCCCCCTACACTAAGAAAGCCCTGCTCGCAGAAGATCAAGTAGTCATTCACCCCGCTATAGGGGAACGCTTTAAACCGTATCCTTTCTGGTGTACTCACCCCACTCCTAACTGTCTTTCCAGATTGTGGTACACCTTGTGTGTCTGACTTTGTGCGCGCAACTGTAGTCATGCGCTGTGCATTCGTAGTATCGGCGCTCGGAGGTGGTGGGAGAGAACTCATGTCTGGTATGGAGTTAAGGATATGGGCGCGCCAGAGGAAGCATTCGCCCGTGCCGTAGAAATGGGAAGACGGATGCGGTGGGTCGCTGAGATATGCACCGAAGATCTGTTGTGGACCGAAAAGTCAGTATACATGCAATTAGACCTTTCTAAAACAAAAGTAAGTTTTAGAATAGAGTTGTCTTACCCCTCCAGACGAATCCTTAACCACGATGACGAAGCCCCCCCTCTTTCCCCTGTATTCATCGCACTTCTCATATAGCGTCGCTAAGCTCACTCCATTCTGCTCCAGACTATACGTCAGGTTCCAGGTATCGACTAGCTGCAACCGCGGTGGAACTAATAGCCTGATTTCCTCCGCCAGCGCTGTTGATAATAGCTTCGCTGATGACTGTGTACCCGATTTGTATCCCTTCAAGGTGAGTGGCGTGAGCGGGGGTGGTTGGAAAGGAGACGCATGGCGCCGCGGAGGTGTGTATACACCGTTCATGGGACCGATGTTCTGAATGCTTTGATTTAAGCTTCCTCTTTGCGAATTGGAGCTCTTAGGGTCGTTGGAGATGCGTCGGAGGAGGCCGCTAACAGCGTAAGAGACTGGGTAGGTGAAGTAGGAGGAACGCGAAGGGTTGGAGGAAGTCGAGGCGGATACTGAGTCTTGAGATTGAGATGCGTGCGGCATTGGAGACGGTGTATATCTTTTGCGACTGGGGTATTTGTCGGGGACGGGGTGTTGTTGGGATGATTGGGATTCCCTCTTATGACGTTGTTGCTTACAGCTCCGGGTGTTGATGAGGGGCGGTTTTCATAGTTTGGGGCCAAAAATTGAAGTAAAAGGTCGCGTAAGCTCAGTTGCAGCTCCAAAACTGCTCGATTCACGAATTTTTAGATGGAAAGGGTAAATGTCAATGAATTGCTTTTTAGGTATTCAGATACCCTCCGCATGCTGGACCTCACCCCGCCAATTGCTCCGCCAGAAAGCTTGTTTTGGGCTAAGCTAATTGGGCTATGGAGTGGTTCTCACGAACATCGTCAGCTTCAAGAGAACAGGTTCATTGAATTTATTTAAGTGTTTATTTCAGGAGAGGCAGATGGAAATATCTCATCCGTAGTTTCTTTATCACTGGCGTTTGGGTCGCCCTGTTTAACGGCGGGCGCCGCTTATTAAGACTTAGACATCCGCTTTCCCTGAAATTTCAGCTACAAACGCTTGTCTTTTATCCAGACCCGTCGAATATCTGAACCGTCTCAAATTGACGGCGGCTCCTCAATAAGACTGGAATGTGGTTTGACAACACCGGGGTCTTCCGTGACCTCATCGACTGCAGGTAACACCGCGGTTGTCTCGTGTGTCTTCTGAAGAGCATTTGGTTCGATTGACGGCGGCTCTTCCATTAGGCTGGAATGGACTTTAGGGACGCTGGGATCCTCAAGAGCTTCTCCTGCAGAAGGTACTGCTGAGTCGATTCCATGCACAGTTTGATCGGCGCCTGTTTCAATTGATGGTGACTGTTCCGAAAGGCTAGAACGGGATTTAATAACTATATTGTCATCGGCTCCGTCCAGGCCAGCCGGGCAGTTTGTGCTCAGTTCTGAATCCTTATCAGCCTCAGAAGAATGCTCTTCTCCGTCATTCTTTTCTTCAACAGCACTCTTCAATGTCCCCCCTTTCCGCTTTGGAATGACCTGCATGAACGCCTCGCCCCAGTCGCCCAATTCCAGCCACTTCAGCATAATTTCGAGAACGTGGTTGGTGGCCAGAACTGCGCGACTGTTCATCTGTAGAAACTCTCCGATAGGTAGCTTGGCCGTCTTAATCCCACGTTCAGTAGCTCGCTTGTAGCAGATTCCCTTATGGCGATTGTGATCCACAAGACCACCAATTATATATGTGCTGTGTGGTTTGAGCCTCTCCAGGGTCACGTCGCTTTCACTAGACAGATAAACAATTTCTCCCTCCTCTTCCTCGGTATTCGCGGAATCTTGGTCCTCAGCAAGTGCACCGGCCACTGCGCCACCGTTTTCCGCCTTCATCCATTCCTTAGCCTTCTCTGCTACCAGAACGAAATCTTCCTCGAAAAACCGGAAACCATGCCATGATGTATACTGTTTCCCAAGGACACCATTGAATCGCTCTTTCAGCTTTCCTCCAAAAGAAGCCACAGCCAAATGGGTCCTGAATTTAGCATGTCGATTATCGGAGTAACACCGGGTGATTTGAGTACCCAGAGATTTTAACTCTTGATCGAACATCATGTCATCGAAATCGCAGTCAAAGATGATGCTCACGGGAAGTTGGCTTGTCGGGTCAGGCTTCTCACGGCCCATTCTGGGTTGTTTAACACCAGGTTCAGGAGTATTTGAGAAGCCTGCAGGATTGTCGGACAGTTTCTGCTTATACTCCTCCCTTCTGCGCTCTCTTCGTGCCTTCTCTTTCTCTCTTCGCTTTTCTTTCCTAGCCTCCCGTCCATCTTCCCACTGCTGCTGACGTCTGAGTTTCTTCAGCTGGTTCTTCGAAATTTTAGGGGCCTCTTCCCTTAGGGTAGTGGAATCATTCAGAGCATCAGCCATGTCCACATTTTTACTTTCTGTGGGGACCTGATCTTTCACATTTGATGATCCGCTACCCTCAGAAGCACCATTGGTCAGGGTAGGATCTGCGAACCGAACATCTGAATCATTTAAACCATGATCGAGCTTCTGGATTTTCGCTGGGCGGCCTTCTTCTTCCATGGTGAGTGTTGTGGTAAAGTTATGGTGGGTGACTGGACGTCCAAAAATTGTTATGCGATCCCGCACTAGCGTGCCTTACATAATCTAAAACGCCAAGATCCCAGACGACTTCAACATCACAGCTTCCTTTGACCTTTACCAACGTCGAGTTTACCCACCAATTGAAGCCTCCACATATAAATTCACCATGCCGCAGGATATGCCGCCCACGGGCGGCTACGGCGCCGTCCAGTACAAGCGAAACCTGCCCGCTCGCGGCTTCCGACCCTCCGTATACCTGGGCATCATGGGGGCGATTATGTCCTACGGATTCTACAAGTTCGGTCAAAGTACGAGGGAGCGGAAGTACGTGATTGCTTTGGATAACTACAGAAGGACTTGCTGACGTGCGGGAATATAGTGAGCTTGCTCGCGAGAAGATGTGGGCACGGATATATCTCACACCAGCCCTTCAAGCGGAGGAGGATCGCGATCAGGTGCGGAGATATTTGGCCGACAAAGCTAGGGAGAAGGACTTGTTGGGAACAGAGACGAAGGTCTATCACAGCGATCGGTATGCTCCGCAGTGCTATGATTGCCATGAAACGGCGTCATTCTCGAATTATACTAACTCTGGTAACCAGGTTTGTCCGACCAACGTTTGCTGTGACACCAGAGAAAGAGTTGAAGTAAATGAATATGAAGGAGTTTCCGCCAAAGCAATTGTACATATAACGGGAGTCACCAGACTCACAAGCGTGACACAGATGTTTTTTATAAGTTTAAACGGACTATCGTTCGGATGTTGACACTAGCTGTTACCAAGAGTCGAAACAGCTGTTATCCTGCAGTTAATCCATTCATTCCTACGCTTGGAAGCGCCTTCAGTATACTAACAAGATGATTTATCTGTTTTTGCTTTTTATATGTATTATTTCTCATCATTTACTATTGACAATTCGAAGCGCTAGGACCTCTAGGAAGGGGATGAACTACATACGCACTTCGCTTATTCTCCGTTGCTTCAATTATCAGAGCTACTTAAGACATATAAATGGTCAAACATTATACTGATATATTTGCCTCAGGAAACGGTACACACGCCTTCCGGTCAGTCCTACTCTTGAGAACTCGGAAATTTCCGGAGTATACAATTACATAAGAACTTTACCTAGCACTGATGCACTGATCCGGAAATCCCTGCCTCAAATTATCATACTTCGAGTCCGGGTAATGCAGCCAATTAGGACACTGCTCC